TACAGCCCCTCATCCTCAGAAACCCTAAAAGCCCTCTCTCACTCCATTCTTGTGTGTGTTTGGCCTTTTGAAGTTTGTTTTGGTGAAGTAGAGCTTGGAAGAACAGAAGAAAAGTTGGAGAAGAAGGACTTGAGTATCTTGAGCTCAAGGATCTGGGATTACCTCACCTTTTGGCACTAATAGGAGGTATAAAGCTTCCAACTTTCCTCATAAATACTTAGATATAGGCTTATGGAGCTTTGGACCTTTTTAGGTCCAAAGAATGGATTTTTATAGTGCAACTTGTATTTAGTCTTAGGGTTGCAACCCTTAGAGCTAAACGTGTCCCATAAGCAGTAAAGTTTCAATCTTTAGGGCCTATTTGTAACCATGCATGAGATCTAGCCATTTCCATGAAGTTAATTGTTATATTCTAACTTTGGGATCACTTGGTGGGTTGCAAGCCACCGAGTAGTCGACTTTATGGGCTAAGACGTTTTATTGGAATCAAATCTTTAATTTGGACTTAGTGTCCTAAGGGATTAAGCAGTTTTGAAGAAGATGGCTTAACAGCGTAGTACGCTGGGCGTACACGCCAGTACGCGCAACGTACAAGCCATGCAAGAAGTACGCGTAGCGTACAGAGAAGTATGCTCAGCGTACTCTCATATTTTGGGCTTATGACTTTTGGGCCTCGGTTTGGGCTGATCTTAGGGCTTAGTAGTTATTGGGCCGAAATGGGCCATCAAAAATTAGATAATGGACCAGGGACATGTTTGGGTTTAAGGAAAGGCCCATTTGAGGAATTGGGTCCAATTTAGAAAAATTGGGCCATTAGTGGGCTATTAGTGGGCTTAGAAAAGTTAGAAGAGTTTGGGCCTAGGTTATGGTCCAAATTAGCTCATAAGGAAAAATGGTCATTTTTCCCTTCAAAGGATTCTCAGTTTTTGACTAAGTGTTCCTTGTGAATTATAGCCGAGGAGTCGTTGGAGCAGCCATCGAAGATTTCCTCACTTGAGATATCAGCAACCAACTTGAGAGGTGAGTTTTCCTCTAGTAGAACAGGTCGAAGGCACCAAGGCCGGCCCGTATATGTTATGTGTTTGACTTGTAGCTGAGTGTGGGCGGGGCCCGTATCTCCTAGTTAGTCGAGTGTGGGCGGGGCCCGTATCTCATAGCATTATTTGAGTATGGATATATATGATTGCTTGATAGTTGTAGATGTACTTGTTGTATGTGTGATACTTGTATGCATATTAGTAGCTGAGTGTGGGCGGGCCCGTATCTCATAATATCCGAGTGTGGGCGGGGCCCGTATCTTATAGTAGCCAAGTGTGGGCGGGGCCCGTGTAACGCCCGCAGATTCGGGCTAGTCAATTTAGAGACGATGAGCATCAAAAATGACTTTTTGATAAAGTATTATTTAGAATAAATAATATTAACCAAGTTGTAGTATATTTCACAAGGCTTCTGTGCATATAAAGAATGTCGAAATCCGAGTTATAACGAAAAAGTTATGACTTGTCGAAGTTTCGCGTCAAAACCGGCACGACACCGAAAATCATAAAAAATGAGTTTATGATAAAGTACTTTTTAGCCTTAGTGACCTAAAAGAAAGTTGTAGAGTACGTCTCCACCTACGTGTGGATATAAAGAACGTCGAAAACGGAGTTCGTATGCAAAAGTTATGGCCTTCCGAAGATGCAGCTGTCTAAGGGCATGACACGTGGCAGAAACCCTAGCCGCCTTAAGTCACGACATGAAAATGAAGTTCACGACGTGAAACGTGTCAGGGACACTAATCGAGGCTAGAAAACACGCGTTAAGACTATGGGATGACTCATGGAGGTTCACGACGTGAACCTATCATGTTCACGACGTGAATGGCCCCAGAACACCCTATAAATAGCAAGTTCAGCCCTTTCATTCCTTACACCAATTCTTTTCCCTCTCTCTCGTTTGCTAAAGGCGTTCCGCGTCCCGAGCTCGATGATCACGAACCGTTGACCGTTTTTAGTTAGATTCTATCAACTCACGCTACTAATGTGAGTGCATATTATTTTCATCTTACACATAGATATGAAGTATTTTATATAAATTACGTGCTATGTATGCATATTATCTTTATACTTGTTATCTATGATGGATGAACCATTTTATACATGTTTTAATTGATTTAAACTGTATATGTATTTTATATCTACAAATATGTTGGGTAAAACATGGGTAGATGAATTAGATGATGTGTGATGAAATAAAAAAATTGATGATAGGTCTCGATATTCAAGATGATCTAGTCATCTAGCAGAGTATAGACATAGTTATTTGTTATTAATCCGGGAGTATGGATTAAGACATAGTCAGTTGTCCTTAATCTGAGAGTATGGATTAAGACATAGTTATTTGTTATTAATCCGGGAGTATGGATTAAGACATAGTTAATTGTCCCTAGTCTGAGAGTATGGAATGGGCACAATTATTGATCCGGGAGTATGGATCAGACATACCAGATCCAGGAGTATGGATCAGGTAAAGAGGTTAGTTTTAGATACGGGAGTATGGATCGGGTAAAGATGTTAGTTTTAGATCCGGGAGTATAAATCAGGTGGAGAGGTTAGTTTTAGATCCGGGAGTATGGATTAGGTATTTTTGAACATCGTGTTCACTAGGTGTTTTTGAACTAGGTGTTCATTAGGTATTTTTGAACTATGTGTTCACTAGATGTTTTGAACTATGTGTTTACAAGGTATTTTTGAACTATATGTTCACCAGTTGTAATTTAAGAACCCTGGCAGCTATGGACTTAGTGCCGATTGGATAAACGTTGGCAGCTATGGATTTAGTGCTTGTTGTATAAGCCTCGGGCAGCGATGGACTTCGTGCCTATTCCTTAGGTCAATCCTTAGGAATAAATGAATGAAGGATAGATGATTGTTAGGGTAGATCCTTAAGATTAAAGAAGATAATGGGGATGGATAATTGGGTTAATTGTTTGATGTTTAAACATAATAATTATATTATTGTGGGTTGAAAACCCTATGTGCTCACCAGGTTTCCCAACCTAACTCACTCAAGCTTATTTGTATCACAGATGTCGATACGAAGCCACATTACAGTGAGAGATTAAGGAGATATGAATCATGATAATGAATGTAAGTTCTTTTTATGCTTATGTTTCTGTATTGACGATGAAATCCCAAATGTTTTAAAATGAATAAAAATACATTTCTTCGGAAATGCTTTGATAACGTATTTATCATGTTTTTCTGGGAACAAATTCCGCAACATTTTTATTAAAAGAAGAACTCTGATTTTTATAAAGCATAAACAAAATCGGTCTTTTCTGGCTGTGAAATTGGGGGATGTCACAGCCCGTATCTCATAGTCAACGAAGTATGGGTGGGGCCCGTACTCCCAGTTAGCGGAGTGTGGGCGGGGCCCGTATCTCCATGAGTGTGGGCGGGGCCCGTATCTCCTAGTTGCATGTATATATGTATGGTATGTGGTAGTTTGGGGAGACTCACTAAGCTTCGTGCTTATAGTTTTCAGTTTTTGGTTTCAGGTACTTCCGGTAGCAAAAGGAAGAGCTCGGGATGACTGCATGTCACACACCACAGCTTTTAGCACGGGATATTTACTTTGATATTTGATATGATATTTTGATACTTTGACAGTTGTTATGATGTTTTTGAGATACATGGTTTGTGATGTTTACTTGATGATGATATTTATGGTTTTAATAATGAATTAAAAACGAAATTTTTAGACCGTATTTTTGGGATGTTACTCAACTTCATCTTTTTCATTATAAACTTACTTATCTGATTTTGTGAAAAATCCATTACAGAAAGACGGGGGAATAATGAATCTTAAAGGCATCCATTGTTTCTTCAATTGTGTCCATGGGACAAGTTCTTTAATTTGCATATTTATTGTTGCAATGGTTCCATTTAGGGCATTAGAACTCATGTTTTCCCTTCCACACTACTAGAAAACAGCCCTTTAATGACGCACAAACAATGCCACACGCTGATAGAGGACGCGCATTTGTGTGTGCCCTAAAAAATAATGTCACTTTTGCAAAATTTGAAGGATAGAGGACACGCATTTGTGCGTGCCCTAAAATTATTGTCCCATAAAAAAAATTACAAACACGAAGGGCGCTTGTGCGTCCTCTGTGAATGTCGCTTTATAAAATTTTACTCAAAACGCGCGTTTTGAAATGAAATCCTTTAAAATTCTAATTTTGAAAAACCCCGCTTCAAGATATCCTTTCACTCTCTTTTTCCCTTCTCTGTACAAACCCTAATCACCATACCATCTCTGCTTCAAGGCATGTACGTGACCTTATATTTCTCCACCGCCGCCTTCAACATGTTTTCGAAATAAAATTTCTCGCCATGAGAACCCACGTCTCGCCAACCGATGCGCGCCCTGATCAGCATAAAGAATCTAAAAAATGAAATTTGAAGTGACGATTCGAGGGCTTTTTTCAGAACACACCGTATGGCTATCTCTTTCTCTAGTTCTCTCTCTCTCTCTCTCTCACACACACACACACACACATACACAAAATTGAAGGGACGATTCTAGGGCTTTTTTTCAAGAACCATTCAAAACGTAAAGACCATATTGACACTCACCCTTACGTCATTGAATATCATCCATTGTCAACCCCATCCTTCGTTTGTGTTTGCGTATTTGAAGGGACGATTCTAGGACGGTTCTAGGACGATTCTAGGGCTTTTTTTCAGAGTGATGATTATGATTTGGTGACCGTAGCGGATTATTCTGTGTACCTTAAACTTAAATACCACTGTGTTAGAAAACCCAACAGGAACTGAGATTGAGAAAACATATGTTCTTGGTAAAGAGATGGGTAGAGGCGAATTTGGGATTACGTATATGTGTACCGATAAATCCACTGGTGAAGTTTTCGCCTGTAATCGATATCAAAAAAGAAGCTTAGAACCAGAATCGATATTGAAGATGTGCAGAGAGAAGTCGAGATTATGAAGCATATGCCACCACACCCTAATATCGTGAGCTTAAAGGGTACGTACGAAGATGATAATGGTGTTCATTTGGTTATGGAGTTATGTGAGGGTGGCGAATTGTTTGATCGGATTATTGCCAAAGGACATTACACTGAGAGGGCAGCTGCGGGTGTGACAAAAACCATTGTTGAGGTTATTCAGGTGACACAATAATCCCTCCAAATTGATTTTTGTTTACCCAAAATCATCCATTCCACCTACAAAATGTTAGTGTACAAATTTTCAATTGCTCTATTTTATTGCAGATGTGCCATAAGCATGGTGTGATGCATCGTGATCTTAAACCAGAGAACTTCTTGTTTGCAAACAAGAAAGAAACTGGAGCCTTGAAGGCTATTGACTTTGGGTTATCTGTTTTCTTTAAACTAGGTAACAACTTTTAATAGTCATGAGATATCATCATATCAGTGTTAAAAGATTTAAGTCATATAACCCTTGGTTTTGGTTTTAAAACTCGCTCTATTTGTGCTAAATGCAGTTGTTTCTAATGTTTACAAGCAAAAGATTCAATGAAATTGTCGGTAGTCCATATTATATGGCTCCTGAAGTCTTAAAACGAAACTATGGTCCTGAGGTGGATGTGTGGAGTGCTGGTGTCATCTTATAAATATTGCTTTGTGGGCTCCCACCTTTTTGGGCAGGTATGAACAAAGATAAATCTTGATTTTCTTCTTTTTAAACTAGAGTGGTAATAAAGTTTTCTATATACAAAATGCCTTAGACCAATAGTCTTTCAGTTGTGTCACATCAATAACTACCTTGGAAGTTGTGTCTAAAAGTATAGGTATGTGTATTATGATATGGAACCATAATTGTTGGATGTTGGTTTTTGCAATGTCATAATGATGATATGTGAAGATAAATTTGTTGATGAAAAGTATGGTTTGTTTTAATTGCAGGATCTGAACAAGGTGTTGCACAGGCAATCATTAAATATGTTGTTGATTTCAAGAGGGATCCATGGCCAAAGGTATCTGATACTGCAAAGGATCTTGTCAAGAAGATGCTTAATCCTGACCCCAAGTTACGCATTTATATGTAGAGGAAGTGGCAGGCATAAAGCAAGGTTTTGATTTAATGGACACAAACAAACAAGGAAAGATAAAATCTTGTTGAATTGAAAGCTGGATTGCAGAAACTTGGCCATCAAATCGCTGATGCAGATCTTCAAATACTTATGGGAGTGGTAATTCACTTAATACAGAGTACAAAAAGAACGAATTAATACAGAAAGTCAGAGCTTTTCCAATTAAGTTGTAACTTGTTACAAAATTTCCTTAAACAGGGCGATGTTGACAAAGATGGATTCTTGAATTATGGTGAATTTGTGCCGATTTCGATTCACTTAAGAAAGATGGGAAATGATGATCATCTTAAAGATGCTTTTGCATTCTTTGATAAAAACCAAAGTGGATACATAGAGGTTGAAGAGTTAAGGGAAGCCTTAGCTGATGAAGATGAAGCCAATAATGAAGAAGTCATTTCCGCCATCATTCATGATGTCGACACTGATAAGGTTTGTGTTTGCGTATTTCATAGAACATTTATATAACTTATGATTTTATACTATCTTTTTAAATGTTTAATGGTGTTTTGATTGTTTTTTTGCAGGATGGAAAGATTAGTTTTGAGGAATTCACGACGATGATGAAGACAGGAACAGATTGGAGAAAAGCATCGCGACAGTACTCGAGAGAGAGATACAATAATTTGAGCTTGAAATTGTTCCAAGATGCATCATTGGATTTAGGCAATGAGGAAAGATGACTATAAAATTAATAATGATTTAGGCAATAAGGAAAGATGTTACTACTTCCCATATGTTTTCTCAATATGGGAAGTAGTCCCTTTGTTGCTCAAGGAGATGCAATGATAATATATGTTACATGCATGTTGTTCAAAGTTTAATAGAGAGGTAAACGTAGAAATTTCATCTGTTAAATTACTATGTTTTAGTTCCTTAAACTTAAATACCAACTAATCGTCAACTTGCAAAAATTGAATTGAGGTAAAGGAAGGATGACAAGAATTCTACTCCTGTTGAAGATGTAACATCCACAAAAAGAAAACCATGTAGTAAGTTATTCCATTAGCACTTAAGCTTTGTTCTTTTTGCAGTAAGTCAAAAAAAAGGTCAAGAATTTACAGTTTAGTCATTTCTTAGCCTTTTAATTTTTTTTTCTTATCGTTAATTGTTTATTGTCGAGAAGTGTTTGTGATTAATTTTCAGTTCAGTATGTGTTTGTTGATACAGGTTTGGATATGGATATGATTACCTAAGCACCAATTTTGTTCATTAGCTCCCAATCCCATTCTAGTAATTATAACTAAGCTTGAAGTTTTGATTAATTTTGTTCTTTCTGCATAAAGTCAAAAAAAGTAAAGAAAATGGTCATGAATTTGTAAATTTTTGTGATTACAATATTAGCAAAAATAGTAGAATTTTGAGCAACAGTTAACCAATCATTCCATTGTTATTACTTCTAAAGGTACAATTCAGACTGCAAGAGCCTCATATTGCTCTGTCTGCAACAATTGTATTCAAAGATGTGACCATCATTGTCCATGGGCAATGCATTGGACTAGTAAGTCAACGTTTCTAAGATTTCTTAATTTGATGCTTCAGTTGAAACAATGGGTTTTTTTCTTCATCTGGCGCTTAGGGATGGAGGTATGTTAGGTTTTATGTTTAGTAAATTTAATTTCTTTTTATTTTTTTCATTTACAATTTCAATTCATTATCAGTTTTGAAATGAATAGACATTTCTTATTCAACATCATTTCTAGAATACTTTCCACATAAACCATAAGTTCTTGTATGTAGCTTGTATATGCATTACAAAGTTAAAAAAATTCCTTATGAACCTCAAGTTCTTGTGTAACATCCTGAAATTCAGGTATATCTATTTAACCCTTCCTTCTTTCTAAGTTGTCTAGTTTAGCCCTTAAAAGTAGATTATGGCAAATGAGTACGCTGCGCGTACTCATGGGCGTGTTTTGGAAGCGGACTCCACCCGGTACGCTGGGCGTACCTTAGGTTACGCTGGGCGTAGCGGGTCCAGACTCAAAACCCTAAATGAGACTTGAGCCCAATATAAAGAAAGTTATGGCCTTATCCTCAGCCACCATTTGAGAGAGTGAAACCCTAAGAGAGAGCCAACCTTCGTTCTAAGCTTGTGTGTGAGTGTTCTTGAGCTAAAAAGTGCCTTTGTGTGTTAGTGAAGAAGAAGGGGAGGTTCTTGTGAAGGCTAGAAGTTGGAGTGCAAGCTTGGATCTGAGTTCTACAGAGGGAGGAGCTTCACTTGGAGGTAAAAAGCTCAGAGCTTTCCTTGTTATTGTTGATTTGTGCTTCATGGACCAATTTTTAGGGTTTTTGGTCCAAGGTGGAGACTTTATGAGCAAAAGGTATCCATAAGCTTAGATCTACTATATTTCAGAGTATTATGAGTTGAGGGTTCATAAAAATCCAATCTTGGACGTGAATATTAAGCCATGCATGAGATCTAGGCTTTATGAGGAAAGAGGAAAGGTGTTAGAGTGATTAGTGACCTTTACAGCCATGCAAAGGCTTAAAGGTTTCAACTTTATGGATTAAGTGACCTTAGAGAAGTCAGATCTGAAGTTTGAGTATATGTCTTAACCGTTTAAGACCAAAAATCCATAAATGCATGAAACTGAGACTTACGCTGGGCGTAAATCTCAGTACGCGCAGCGTAAGGGGTTGAAACCCTAATTATGGATCGCCGGCGTACGCCCCGCGTACAAAGATGGTACGCGCCGTGTAATGTCCTCTGTTGACTTTTAGGGTTTTGGTCAACATTAGGACTTTTGGGTCAAGGAGGGGTAAAATGGTCTTTTACCCTTATGTGGGATTGTAGAAAGGGACTTAATCTAGCCTTTGAGAGCCATTATTTATTTGAGGATATTGTGTATGTGATTAGGCGGGGGCTAGATTGGTATATTCGTGCGCGAGATTTCCCAAGTTACCCGAGGTGAGTCTTCTCACTATACTTTACCTAGAGTGGTAATTAGAGCTATGTGACAGAGTATCTTGTATGCCTTTTGTATGATGTGATATCTATATGATTGTGTTATGTATGATTCAGAGTTTACAGAGTTAGGACCAAAGGGTCCACAGAGTTATGGGACTGGAGGGTCCCACTGAGACACACTGACCAGAGGGTCATACAGAGTTATAGCCTCGAGTGGCTAATATGTGTTGTATGTGGTATTTTGGGGAACTCACTAAGCATTTATGCTTACAGTGTTATGTGTTTCAGGTACTAGCGACGATCGCGGGAAGGCGCCGGCATGATCCGTACACACAGACAGAGGATTTTATTTGTGATCTTGGGATATGTTTTATTTTGATGAAAATTGTTGAACATGAGATTTGAGAATGTTAAATGATATTTATGTTATTCGAAAAATGAAAAATTGTTTTGAAAATTTACGTCGTTACATCTTGTATGTAGCTTGTATATGCATTACAAAGTAACAGCAATTGTTCAAACTTTTATGACTCAAAATGCCTACCTGGCTTTATTGGGCACCTCAGTATGACTTCATATTCAATATTGTATATATGAATTTTTCCCCTTTTAACAAACTAAAAAAAGAATATCTTTTTGTACTAGTTAAATGCATCCACAACAGATGAGGGACTAAACTTTTATGACTCACAACATCACTTTGAGCACTCACAACTTCTGTTGGTTCTTTTGAGTTCACTTCCACATGCACCAACGAATTTTCAGTGTCGCGCATTACAGGTACGGTTGTTTCCACTTATACCCTTGTCCCTGGAAATTCTATTTTGTATATTTACTTCTCCTTTTGATTTCAGTATCTTCTGATTTTGGCTTGCAGTCATGCTGAAAATAGAAACAGGCTCACTAAGATGGATGAATGGCCTTAATGGATCTTGGAAATTCTTATTTCCAATTACGAGGTGATGTTATATTAAATATTAACTATCACCACCTGAATTTATTTTTTCTTGCAACTGATACAAGTGTAGTAAGTTTGGAACTTGTTCCTATAAAAGATTATGCACTTTATTTTTCATTTCATTTTAAATGATATATATGCATGCTTGTTCCTACAGACGTCTGGAAAGAATGCTTCAATGTCTTGAGATTTCCGCGAGGATGACGAAAGAGTTATTCTTGAGATTTCCGCATCTATGGTCCGTCCATAAAAGGTATGGCAAGGAACATTTCAGGTAAGCTTTAATTGTCATTTGACTCGTTTGCTAATTAATTATATATGTTAGTCATATATCGACTTTATTATTAATTTCTTGTGCAGACTGGTCATACCATTGAGAAACTACGTGAACAAATGATGGAACTAATGAAGAAGATCATACATAGCTATTCAGCTGCTAAAACTTTCCCATATATTTTGGAAGGTCTGCATTCTAGAAACAACAAGACAAAAATTGAGTGTACTAATCTTGTTGGATTTTTGCTTGATAATCATTACACTGAGGTATATAACTACATATGATAGTCCTTTCAATTAATGTGTCACACTCACACCTTATAGGTTTATAGCTGAAGGTTGCTCATGCTTTCCAAATCTAACAGCAAAACGGGATGGTGAACTTAGAAAGGTTGCACTAAATTGTTTTGCCTCTGGTTATAAGATTCTCGGTATGCTTAAGTTTTATTAAGGAGCAGATTTATGTAGAAAGGAATAATAGTTCTTTTTTTGTTGGAAATGTCGAATCTGATTACAATTTTGATTTAAGGTGTTCTTTAATAGCAATGTATTATTAGGTTATATAGTTAGGGAAAACCTCTTAATAACAATGTACAATCGGATCCCCTTAATACCAATGTATTACAATTTTTTGACATGATGTTATGGATGAAATTGATTGTTTTGGTATATATTTGTTTCCATATTTTTGTATTATGCGTAAATGAGTATCGTAAAGACGCGTCGTAAATGTATATTGTAAATGGTTGTTGAAGTTTATGACACGCAAATGCGTGTCATCTTCATTTATGACAGGGGCTTTAATGATACGCAATGCATGTCCTAAACGTGCGTCGTAAGGTTACGACACGCAAATGCGTGTCGTCTTCCTTTATGACAGGGGCTTCCTTGATACGCATTGCGCGTCGTAAATGCGTGTCGTCTATAGACGACACGCAAAAGCGTGTCGTCTATAGACGACACGCAAAAGCGTGTCGTCTCTCGTTATGATAGGGCCTTCATTGACACACATTTGCGCGTCGTCTGAGCGTTTTACGACACGCATTGCGCGTCGTAAAAGGTTGTTTTTCTAGTAGTGCCACTTCCATGTTAGGATATGTCTGACGAGTGGTTGCACTTTCCTCCAGCTAATGCCACTCATAAATGATTCTTTTATTATTCCTAAGGTGAACTAAAAGAAACATTTATCTTCAATATGGTTAACATATACTAATTCTAACAAAATCAACTCTAACTCTTCAAGAAATAACAATGCAGTTCCATTGATTTGTTTACCATTACATTCTACTTTTGTTTCTTCTTATCACAACATTGTACTTTGAAAAAACATAACCATTCATAACAATTTCATCCATATACAAAGAAATTTTTTACTACTATTATGGTGTAGATGTTTTAAATTATAATCCCTAATAATAAATTGAAAGTGCAATACTATAACTAAGTAGGTTTTCCAAAGTACAGTGTTCTACTAAGATTTTTTTTGAAAGTGCAATGCTATAGTAGAGAGAAATAAAAGTAGGATGGTATAATACATAACT